AGGCAACTCAACGGCACATAAGATCAACAACAACAATGTGCAGGACAGATATAAGCAGAAGATCTTACTATGCAAACTATTTCCTAATTTTTTTATTTTTAATGTTTGATATATTTTAATTTAATGTTTGATATATTTTTTTAATCTTTATTTTATTTTGTACTAGTTTACATACAAACTTCATAAAGTCCATATACATTGTTTTTCACAATGGATCTTTCCCCTTTCCTTTGTCCATTAATGCCTCCACCTATCAAATTATAATTATGTTCCCCACTTTGGATCCTCGTACTTATTCTACAACAACGGTTTTATGCAGTATTTGTCTTTATAAGGTCAAGTTAGTTCACTTAGCATGTTAGGTAGTAATTTACAAAACCATTGCTCCGTTGTTCTGCATAATTCCAATATTTGAATGTACCATAATTCTGCAATTCATTTAAATACTAACATGTTTGAAATCTTTAAATATATTACTTTTGTTGCTTTCTTTTTAGCCATTGGAAAAATATATATAGTTTGTATTCTTTTACATAAATGGATGATTTATCTTTTTTCTTATGCAATGGAAAATATTGTAAGGAAACAAGACTATGAAGATTGAAATATCTGCTAAGAATATTGCAACTATTAAAGGATATAAGGAAAAGCTATGTTTGTATACCACAAGGTACTGTCTGAATTCGTAAATCTATTATCTTCTATATTTGAAAGGCTTCCAATTAATTCCACCATTAATGTAAGTCAAACAAATAAAGTTATTTTTCTCAGAAAAATTAGATGAGTCACTCATTACTGATGAGCAAGTCGTTTAATAAGAAAAGAGGTGGTGAGGTAAGAAGGAAGGCAGTAAGAACACAGATTAATAAATTGCTTCCAATGAAGAGAACTCACATGGCACAATCAGAATAGAAGTAGACAATTAAATTTATACTTTAATTTTTAAATAATAGGTACCACCCCCACGTATAAAATGTAGACACAATGAAATTAAGTTTTATTAGGCATAAAAACACATAATATTTCCCATGGTCATCATATATACACAGAGAAATAGCACCATTTTAAAATATCTTCTTGATATAAGGTAAGAGGATATTTATACAACCTTGTATAAACCTAGGAGTTTGGTTCAGTTTGGCTACTTATGATTCTCTGACTTTGCAGTTATATAGCTATTCCTTTGTTTAACTATGATATAATGTCATTTTCTAGATGAAATCTACTACAAGAAGCCAATCAATTGAATTGTAGCTTCAACAGTAGTGCAGCCTCCACTGAAAATATGAATGTGTGTGTGTGTGTGTCTGGAAAATATCACTTTATTTTTACTTACCTTAGATCCTGCATCTGGCTCCTCACCTCTTTGCTTCTTGGTTGTGAACCAGTAGCTTCCCGTACCTGCTACACTTGAATATGTCAGACTCTCTAGCTATGTGAGTAAAGAGAAGCACCTCTATCTGTTTACACACACACACACACACACACACACACACGTATATGTATATGTATATGTATATTTATATTTATATGTATATGTATATGTATTAATGTGCATATTTTTGTTGGTTTTGTTATGTGCAAGTCCATTATAACTCATAGTAACCCTATGGACAATACTGCCCTATCTTGAACCAATCTCACTGTCTCTGACAACTTGCCACCATTGCCATAATCACTGTCACGTGTGTGTGTGTGTGTGTGTGTGTGTGTGTGTGTGTGTGTGTGTGTACATACTCTGGTGGCCTAGTGATAAAGAATTAAGCTTCCAATCAAAAGGTATGCAGTTCAAATCAACCAGCTGCTCCATGGAAGAAAGATGTACAATCTTCTCCCATGTGATTAATAGCACCTGAAAACTCTCTGAAGGATCAGCTCTGAGTCAGTTCTAATTTAATGGCACCTAACAACCACAATGTATACGTATATGTATGCCTCTGTGTGTGTGTGTGTGTGTGTGTGTGTGTGTGTGCAGACATCAAGTTGACTATGACTCATAACAACAGATAAGAACTTTGCTCTATCCTTTGCCATCCTTATGATCTCTGTCTTGCTTAAACTAATTGTGATAGTCACTATATCAATACATCTTATTTGGGGATCTTCCTTGCTTTCACTGATTCTCTACTTTTCCTAGCATGATGATTGTCTTCAAGAACTGCTTGTTTCTGAAAACCCAGTGGAAATGAATGAGATGAAATTGCAACATTCTTACCTTTAAGGGGCACTTTGGTTGCACTTACTTCAATGCAAATTTGTTTGCTCTTTTGACACTTCATGATATATTCAAAACTCTTTACCAACATCATAATTCAAATTCTTTATCATCCTTATTCATGTTTCAATGGTCAGATGCATAAGAAGCAATTTGAAAATATAATTGTTTTTACCAGGTGCACCTTACTTAGTCTTTAAACTCACATCCTTACTCTTTAGAATTTTAGACACATATTTTACTGAAAATTTCTCCAGTGCAATATGTCTTTTGATTTCTTGAGTGCTGAACCATGGATGTTGATTGTAGATTCAAGTAAAAAGAAATCATGGACAACTTCAGTCTTTTCTTCATCTACCATGATGCTAGCGCCAAGGACTCTCCTTCATAGGGTTGCTATGAGTCTCCTGTGACTTGATGGCACTTAACAACAATGATATCAACACACAGAGAGAGATCAGCTGGCCCAGTGGACAGAAAGCGATGCTACCAAGCCAAAGGTGGGTGACTTTTAATCTGTGGCCCTCGGGCCTGTCTTTTGTTGTTTTTGTTCAGACATTCCTCTAGGTCGTATAGGCCTGGTGTCAAGTTGCCATATCGTGGTCACTTGTGGTTCCTGTGAGGCTGAACACTGTGACACTGATGTGTCAAATGTGTTAACGGTTGGCTACCCAATGAGGACAGAGAGTGGGGTGGAGCTCCTTGATTAAAACAAGCTTGGAAGGAGGAATGGCATCCACTTCCATAATAGCTTGTTTCTGGAAACCCTATGAACCTGGAGAGAGGAAGAAAGGCACCCAAGCGTCGAGGACTCTCCTTCATAGGGTCACTATGAGTCGCCTGCTACTCGACGGCACTTAACAACAACAACAACAATAACCACCATGATGCTGTCTATTAATCTAGTGGTGCCTATTTTTTTTTCTTTTGATGATTGGGTGTAAACAATATTGAGTGTTGTAGTCTTTGATCTTCTGAAACAAGTTCTTCAAGTATTCTTCACTACCTTCAAACAAAGTTGTGTTATCTGTGTAACACAGAAGATGGAAGGAATACACAGAATCATTGTACCTAAAAGAACTGGTAACACTGACTTTTTCATGAGTATCGTATGACCAAGAATCAATACTACTGAAGAAAGAAAGTCAAGGTCCATCGGGGGGTTTGTAAAAAAAATAAGAATCCATGAATTTATGAGGTAGTAATTGAAGTTTTTTTCAGGAAGCAGATGCAGAGCTCACTAAGCCCTGCCAACAAATATGGAAGCCAGCATCCTGGCAAACTCACTGGAAGAGATCTGTATTTGTTCTCACTAAAAATAAAAAGAAAACATGGTCCATGAGAACATCGAAATTGTCAACAATATAATTAATATGACATGAAAGTAAAATCTTGGTAAAGATTATTTTTTAAATGCCTAAAATAGTACAATAGGAAAATAACAGAAATTCAAGCTAGATTTAGAAGAGGCTATGACATAGAGAATGCCATTCTGATGTCAGGTGTATCTTGCTGAAAGCAGAGAATACTAGAAAGATGTTACTTGTGTGTTTTTTAAATTATTTTTATGCCAAGCATTTGTCAAGGTGAATCATAACAAATATTCTTCATTGAGAAGAATGAGAAGCAGGGGACATTTAATTGTGCTCATGAGAAACTTAGACAAGCAGTTGTCAGAACAGAACGAAGAATCATTCCAAGGATTAAGATCAGAAAAGATTTGTGTCAGTGTCGGCATCCTTTCTCCATAAACACACACACACACACACACACGTTTTTGTAAGTACCATAGAGTTAATATCACTCACATTAACCCCATAAACAACAGATCTGAACATTATCTTATCCTGCACCAGCTTCACTAGCTCTGATATGATCAAACCCACTGTTAAAGTCACTGTGTCCATCCACCTTATTGACAGTCTTCTTTTTCTTTCCCTCCATGTATGCTTCATTGGTTATCTTTCTTTAAAGAATTCAGTCTAAAAATCATTGGTACTGCAAGTGGTTGAAGGGAAGCAAAATCATAAGGACTGAGTTTTCCCAATTGGTTCCCAAGGTTGACTAGTTGTAAAGATCCATAGTTTTTTTTATCCATTTTTAAACAAAACTCTTCTAATCCAATATTAATATTCCAATGAATATTCCAAATATCACCAGCAATAGAAAAAGTTATAATCATGACTGAGGCCCTGAGTGATAGCATGTTTGACACCTTTCTAGAAATTTGTAAAAATGAAAAGCTTAAGAGAGTTAATTGGTCCTGCTTAGTCTAGATAAAGTGATAATGAGATGAACTCATGGCTTCCAAGGCATATCTCAAAGATCTCATAAAAGTGCTCAAAGTTTCCAACTGTGACTTAAAGGAAGGCCTTATCATTTATGGTAAGAGAGTTACAGTTGGATTTGCAAAGTACTTCATTATTCATTTAATGATATTGACCTTGAGCAGGAGCTGAAGGTAGTAAATTATATGGAGACCCAAATGTCCAGCGACATCAATAGTATTACATTATTGTTTATTTCCTTGCTGACACTCATGGCATCAAGGGGACTTCCTTATTACTGTTGACTAAGAAAGAGGAAATCTATGCCTATTTCACAAAGAGTTCTGAACAGTAGTCAGGCAGCCCTCAGAAGTGGAAAATTGCAATATTATATTCCAATTTGTGAATCTTCTTGAAGGACAGGTGAAAAGAGAAATCTTTGCAATGGGTAGAACTTTAAACGGCACACGTATTTCTATACTTAGATTGAGAAATGGCCAGTTTTTTACAATGTAAATGGCCATAATTATATATTGATTCATGAACTGTAACCAATAGTTTGACTGAATTGTCAGTGATGTGGAAAGAATATGACTGGTTAAAATGGAGATAAATAAGCATGTGGAAGAATTATGTACATAGATTTCTCTGAATGGGCAAAAGAAGTGAAAATATCTGTGATTCATGTGAATATTTTAAAAAAGAGACATCTTCAATGAAGGAAGTTAACAAACAAGTACATAGGATGGAAAGAAGTCTTTTAACCTAGTCTTTCTTATCATTGTTCAATGGATTAATGAACAAAGTTCATGGACATACATTGATGCTATGGATGGCTTAGTATCATGGATTTCAAATTACCATGGATGGCTTGGATATAGTCAACACTGAGTTTCCAAACTACCAGCTACAGAAACCAATATCCAGTCCCTGATATGCAACCAATTGTTGTTGCTAGATGCTGTTCAGTTGAGTATGACTCATAGTGACACTGTGAACAAAAGATCTGAACCCTCTTCTAGCTTGTGCCATCCTCATACTACCTGACACACAAGAATCTATTGCAGCGGCCATTACAACAATCCACCTGGTCAGGTGTCCTCCTCTCCTTTATTGACCCTCTACCCTTCTCAACATCATGTCCTTCTCCAAGAAATAGCACCTCCTAGCAACATGCCCAAAGTATGTGAGGAGAAACCTCATCATTCTTGCCTCCAAAAAGCACTTTGGCTGCTTTTTTTTCCTCCCCAAGACATATTTGTTTGTTCTTTTGGCCATCCATGGGATGTTCAGTACTTTTCTATAACACCACAGCTCAAAGGCATCAATTCTTCTCTCATTCTTAATCACTTGTCAGCTCTCAGTTACATAGCCAGTGATCAGAAAGAAAATGGCCTGAATTGACTAAGACTCACTTTAGTCTGCAAACTGACATAATTACTCATCAATAATTTGGAGAAGTCACTAAGTGCAAACTTTTCCAGTGCAATGCATGTCCTTATTTCCTCACTGCTGGCATCAAAGGTTTTAATTGTGGTTTCAATTAATACGAAGTTGCTGACAGTTTGAATCTCTTCTCCATCCATCATGATGTTGCCTAGTGGTCTAATGGTAAGAATCTTTGTTATCTTGATATTGAAATGCAATCCATATTGATAGCTGCATTCCTACTATAAGTGCTTCAAGTTCTCCTCACTTTTATCAAGCAAGGTTGTGCCATCTGCATAACACAGGTTATTGATGAGTCTCCCTCCAATCCTAATGTCATGTTCTCTTCATAGAGTCTAGCTTCTCGAATAATATGCTAAGCTTACAAACTGAATAAATATGGAGATAGAATACGACCCTGACACACTCTTCGCAATTTGAAACCATGCAGTGTTCCCTTGCTCTATTCACACAACAGCCTCTTGGTCCAGGTATAAATTTTGCACGAGCACAATTAAGTGCTTTGTAACACCCGTTTTTCTCAATGTCAGCCACACTTTGTTATGACCCACACAGTCAAATGCCTTTGCATGGTCAATAAAGCACAAATAGACATTCTTCTGGTATTCTTTACTTTCAGCCAGCATCAACAGTGATGTCCCTGGTGCATGGCCTCTAATAATTCCTGCTGGAACTTCTAGCAATTCCATATCTATATACTATTCCAGTTGTTTTAAAATGATCTCCAGAAGTATTT